AGCATCATATTAAATGAAATACAATTTAACATAAAGGCATCTCAAATAGGCTCAGATTTTTTGAAAAAAAATCTAAAATTGGAGATAAAATTTCACTAATCTCAGGGATCCATTTATTATGGATTTGGTTTATAATGAGGTTTACAGACAGCCGCTGAACTAGAGCCATTACTGATTGGATTCCACGGGACATCAAAAGATCACGTGGACGCCCACCTACAAGATGGTCAGACTTCTTTGTCAAGACCCTGAATGATCGGTTTGAGGCTCTGCATGTTCCTAGAACGAACAGATACCATTGGGCTACGCTAGCACGCAACCGGAATGAATGAAGACGTTACTGGCACCCGCTCAAGTAAATCGATGAATAACGGGGATTAAGTGATTAAGTGATAAGTGATTAATCTCAGGGAAGAGGAGAAAAATATTTAGAAAAGTTAACAACATCTTTAAGAAATATCAGGTTTCATGAAAAAGCTTAAATACCAGTATTATGATAATACCAGAAGGTGAAAACAGAAAAGGAGCAAAAATCATATTCAAATACATAATGGCTAAGAATTTCCCCAGCCCAAGGTAAGAACTAACAATAAATGTCCAGGAAGCTGAAATAACAGCTTTAAATTCTTTAAAATTCAGGTGTTGTCAAGTTAATCAAAATTCAATGATAAGAATTTTGAAGGAACTTACGGTGGGGATGGGGGAGGGGGCATAGGGAAGTGACAGGAAATAGGTTGGAAGGAAAGGACTAAATTTGTAGAGTCAAATGATCGACAAACAATGGCACAAAAAAGACTGTTTGAGGTGTAGTAAGTTTGTAAATGGCAAACTCTATGGCCGCAACAACAAATTTATTTGGAGAATAATTGCAAAAGCAAGGAAAACATAAACAGTAATAAACAAATGGAACTACACAAAATTTTAAAACTTCACACAGTTAAATAAAGTACCCTAAGAACAAAACATAAACTAGCAGTTGCAAAAGATACTTACAAACTATACTTCTGACAAGGGGTCAAAATGCATAAAGCAAACTGAATAACAACAACAACAGCAAATAACCAGCCAAATAAAAAATAGTCAAAAATAGTCAAAATAACTGGGATAGATTGCTTTTCAAATAAGACATAGAGATGATCCCTGAGCACAGAGCCAGGAGTAAGCCCCGAGCACAGCCAGGTATGGCCCTCAAAAAGAAAACAAATTATTTTTTAATTAATGATGATTAAAATCTACTTCTAGACATGTATCTGAAGGATATAAAAACATGAATTTGAGAAGTTATTTGAAATCCAATCTTTATAGAAATTTTTTTTAGAATAGCCAAAGCATGGAATCAACCCAAGTGTCCATTAGCAGATGACTGGATAAGAAAATGATTTGGTATGCATATTCAATAGGATACTATTCTGCCAATTAAAAGGAAAAAAAATGTGCCCTTCGAGATAAATTTGATGAACTTCAGGTCATTGTGCTAACTGAAATGGGAAAACTAAAGACTCTTATAGGATGACTTCACGAATGTATGGAAAATGAGTAATTAAAACCAACAACTGGCAAAAAGAAAACAGCAAAATAAACCCCTAATTTATTTTTTTTCTTTTAATTTTTTTAATAGTGAGACATCATGAGGTACAGTTGCAGACTTACACATTTTTGTGCTTGGGTTTCACTTATACAATGATCAAATACCCATCCCTCCACCAGTGCCCATTTCCCACCACCTCGGATTCCAGTATCCCTCCCACCCCCATCCCCCCATCCCACAATGCCTCTGTGGCAGGGCATTCCCTTCTGTTCTCTCTCTCCTTTTGGGTGTTGTGGTTTGCAAAAGAAACATTGAGTGACAATCATGTTTGGTCTATAGTCTACTTTCAGCATGCTTCTCCCATCCTGGGAGGAACCTCCCAACACCTTTATTTGGTGTTCTCCTCTTTATCTGAGCTCCCTTTTCCCCTAGTATGTGTGTAAACCCCTAATTTAAATGAAAGCTACAGTGACTATTGAATCGGTGGGTCCCCACTGGTGGCTTATGTGAGGCGAAGAGGAAAATGATGTCACTTTCCTCTTATCTGCCTCTGCCACCCCGGAACCATCCGGGAATATTCGGACTGATCAAGTCTGCAGATGAACCCCTGGGCAGCACGACCGAGAGCTCTGCCAGCTCTACCATGTGACCATCAAGCCATACCTGAAGTCCTCTTGGTCTTCTCTGCCTGGGAATTGACCCCCACTACTTGATTTCTCAGGGAACTGTGGACTCCGGCTGGCGTAAGGAATTCCTCTTTGCTGGAGAGGCAAGTCAGTTCTAGGCCTTACCCAGGGTTTCTAGGAGTTTTTTTGTTCTATCTCACAGAAAGGAGTTTCAGGAGTAGACAAAGAGCAAAGTAAAGACTTTATTTGGAGTCTTTTAGGAAGGAGAAGGAGAGAGAGCAAGGGGAGAGAGAAACTCAAGGGAGAATGGGGGGTTCTCAAGAGACAGAGAGAGCCCCAGTACACACCTCAAGAGAAGACATGTAGATGACATGTGTGCTTGGCACCACATGTGCTTAACCACGTGGACACGAGCAACAGAAGTGCTTGGGCACTGTATGCAGGCACACTCTTTGTTCAAGGGGGCTTTTATGGGTTTCTCCCAAGCTGCCCCCATGTGGGACTTCAACCTAGGTAAAAGTCTGTTGCTAGGATGGTTGTTAAGGGCCTAGAGTTGGGAGTGGTCGATGGCCTTCTTTGACATTCCTTTACTGACTGGTCTTTGTTCCTGTTGGAGCTTCCTGGGGGCAGGGGGGTGGGGTGGGGGATGGCGTGTAGGGTGGGGGATGGGTCCAGACTTTTCTGGGTCTATTGGCATCGGGGAAAAGTCTTATCAGGCCTTAGAGCACTCACGAGGTGGGTCTTGAGGGTCTCAGGGCTAGGTGGTTTTACTCCTTTCTAGGAATTCCATTGCCGTGGGGGTCCTTTCCAGCCTACCTACCTTCCAACATCACTACCAAAAGGAAGGGGAGAGCGGGGGAGAATGAGTAGAGGGTTTTTTTTTTCTATAACACCAGAACTTTGGTGTTGTAAGTGGTAAGAACAATGCACATATAGAACTGTGAAGCTAAAGCCATGACATTCCATACTGGTATAAACCAATAAACCAAGTGTGCTCTGTAAATATGGTACTTTTTGTTTGCATGTTTGTTTTGTGGCCTCACCTGGCAGTGCTCAAGGCCTGCTCTGCGCTAAGAGAGCACTCCTGGTAGGGCTCAGGGGACGGTGTGTGATGCCAGGGACATAATCAGGGTTGACTGAAATTGCCTTAACGTTTGGTATGTATTTTATCTCTGCATCTACTTACTGTTACCAGCTGCTCAGAAATAAAATTTCTTCTATCTTAGGAGAATTACTGATGATTGAGCTGTTAGTATAGTTTCCAGGGTTATGAGTTGCTGAGTTTCATTTTGCTCTCTTGATCTTAGTCTTTGTGCTTTTGTTTGTTTTGTATTGGGGGCCACACCCAGCATTACTTGAAGCTTACTCCTGGCTCTGCACTCTTGGACAGGGTCTGTGGTGATGAGAATCCACCTGGGGCCCACCACCTGCACTGCAAACATTTTAGCTGCTAGACTATCACTCTGGCCCTCTTCCTACTGTTGAAGATCTTTCTGAATCTTCCCTCTTTCTCAGTTTCCACTCCCCTCTCTCCACTAAAGGAAAGGACTGAAGGACTTGAAGAGAGAATTCTCTCAGTACAGTTTCTACTACCCCAGACTTCAGCAACCCACTTCTTGGCGTTTCAAGAATGCCTTGGGCAGGAGAGATAATACAGTGGGTAGGACACTTGTGCAGTTAACCGGGCTCTGATACCCTGAGCACTGCCAGGAGTGATTCCTAATCACAGAGCCAGGAGGAAGCCCCAAGCACCACAGAATGTGGTCCCCAAACAATCAACTGGTGATCTTAATTAGGGAGGTGGGGAAGGGTCTCTCCGCATTTCTCCACGCTGGTCTGTGCTGTTTTTTTGTATTATTGCATTCAGTTTAACCTCCTGGGAAGGAGTACTGCTGGGAAATATGAATTCTTCATGTCTGGACTCCATAAGGATTCTAATTAAGGATTTTAATCTGTCATATTGGCTTTAACTCATCAGATCTCTATTCCTCAGGGTTATTTCTTTTTCTCTCCGGGAAGAAAACGACCCCGAACTTCCTCTATTTTAGTGGGTAATAACTTTTAGGATTGAGTATAACTAAAGTTTATATAAGTCCTCTGTTTACTTCCAAGTTTTAGGAGCTGATGGTTTTGTAGTTTGGTCTCACATGGTTATATTTTCAGGAGTGGTGATCTTTTGCAACTTTCCACGTTCTAATCAGAAGTGAAGTTCTTAGGCTAACTAAGAAGACATATTAAAGCTACATATTAGATCTTCATATTGGAAAATGAAACTTCATACAAAAATTAAATCTTATCACACAGTTTTGTGATATTTTTACCAAGTTCCCTTTGAGTAAGCTCCCCGTGGCGTATACGATATACCAAAAACAGTAACAACAAGTCTCACAATGGAGACGTTACTGATGCCCGCTCGGGCAAATCCAGGAACAACGGGAGGACAGTGCTACAATGCTACCCTTTGAGTGTATCTTAAGTATAAGTTCATATTTAAAAGAGGGTGTTTGTTATCACTAAAATATTGAAAAGAATGTTCTAAGATTTTGGAATTCTAGTAAATATTTTGAGAAAAGCCCAATGGTTTACAAAAGTTTACAATTTTCCCAGATAATGTTTAATGAAAAGAGTTATTATGCTTTATTATCTCCTATTTATTGTTTTCTCTTGCACTATTATATTTAAACTTGATTGTTTTAGAGATATGGAGATATCTGAATTAACTTTAGATACAGTCAAAGTTGCTGAATTGTAGTAAAAAAATTTTTAAATTTTCATAAATTTATTTTCCTCCCCCTCATCCTCCTCCTTCTTCTTTTCTTTCTTTCTTTTTTTTAGGAATCCTGAAGCCAATTTATTCGACGGAAAACAAAACATGACTTACCATAATATCTTTTTTTGGCTCTTTTTGGTCCTGCTTCTTCGGAACTCTGTATTTGCTGAAGATGGAGAAATAAGATCAAGTAAGAACTATCAGCATTATCCCTTGTTGTTGGCCCTGGATTGTTGAAATCAGACCAGTTCGGGTTAAGCAGTGGTTTTAAAGAATTACTGTGTTCGATACGTCATTTCCTATTACAAAACATTTAAACACTAATTGGAGGAGAAGCTTCGTCATATAATTTCAAGGAATTAAATAGTTACTGCTCATGTTTTAGAAGAAGCAATCTGGTATTTAATCCAAATTTAGTTTAGTGTGTGTGTGTGTGTGTGTGTGTGTGTGTGTGTGTGTGCGTGCTTCCTGACGTGAACATAAAACTACTGCTGCCTAGATGATACTTGTCAGGACCATCTGATTTGGCTAATAGAGAAATTGAGATTATCCATGTAAGTGATATAATGCGTGTAGATGACTTAACTCAACCAGATCTCTGCTCTGGAGGAAAGAACCTTAAGGAAAGACGGCTACTTTGATTGTAGTTCTGCTACCTAGGCAACCATTTAGAAAACTCACAAACCTATACGTCCTACTGTGTATTAACTATGGTTGCCAAAAGGGTTGAATCAGCTAGTTTGCCAAATCTATTGTTAAATTTAAATAAATTTATGTAATTTAAATTTATAAAAATATATATATATTTTAATTGAATCACTGTGAGGTAGGCCCTTAGAAAGCTATTCATTATTAGATTTCAGTCATGTAGTATTTCAACACCCACCCCTCCACCAGTGTACATTTCCCAGCACCAGTGTCCCCGGGTTCCCTTCCAACACCCGCCTCCCACACAGCCTGCCTCTATGGCATGGGCTTTTCTTCTCTGTCTCTGTCTCTGTCTCTGTCTCTGTCTCTGTCTCTGTCTGTCTCTGTCTCTCTTTCTCCCTGTCTTCTCTTAGGCATTGCGGTTAGCAATATTGATACTGAAAGGTTATCAAGAATATCTCGTTACTATTTTTAATACTCAGATGCTCTTTCCCAGCTATTACGTCGCAATGGTCTCTTGTCTATCTTCCCTATGCTCAGCCCTCCACACACTTGTGGTTGATTCCAACCACTGAACACTCCTCCTAGCCCCTGATTTCCCTGGCCATGGATATTAGCCTTCTACCATGCAATTTTTATATACCATAAATAAATGCCGTCATTCTATTTATTTAAATTAATTTTATTAAAGGAATAGTGTTTAATGTCTGTTTCACATTTTGTTTTGTTTGTTTGACCCAGTCAAGCACTCTGTAAGGTAGGTATTCCTTTTTTAGTTTTTTTTTTTAATGAAAAATAAATTCACAAAAATTATGGGCATTCCCTTATATCATAGATCTGTTAAGAACTGTAACTTCTCTCTGAGCTAAGCTTTTGCTCTTGAATGCATTCCTCTTTTATGATACCAGTAATTCATGTCTCTAAGGAGGTCTCTTGGAGTGTGGTGTTTTGTCTGGGGTTTATAAATGGTAATACTTGTTTTTTTTAACCAATGCATTTGGCTAACCTTGCTGTTTTGAAATATATCTCCATGGCTTTGAAAAAGGGTAAGAAGGGCCAAGAATAACCCCGTAAGAGTTTGTAACCATTGACTCGAGTGACACACAAACTCCAGCCGTTTGTGTCTAGCAGGTCCAGACAATTGTGAGTTTCACAGGAAGGGTGACATCGAAGAGCTCTGCCAACACAACTTTCCTGCTTTCTTGGGTTTTTTCGTCCACAAAACCCCAATAAAAATAACCCTGGAATCCCAGTCCAGCTTCCAAAAACAACAGTAGAATTGTATTTCTGTGGGTTCAGAAAAAAAAAAACAACAAATGAACAGCAACCTGCCTTTGGGTACAATTCTCTTCCCACTATCCCTGTCCTGTTCCCTGGCAGGGGCCACCATGGCGCGGGTCAGTGCCATTGGCCCCTCATGCCTCCTCTATTTCCCCAGCATTGTGCCTGTAGTTTCAGACTCATGCGTTATGACATCTTATGTCATACTCATACTTAATTTTTTAGACTTTGGAAGTTTGTTCACAAGTTTTTGACTGTTAAACCTGTTTACCCAACAAGTTCCATCTTTACTGGTTACTCTGATGGTGAATTCAGATGCGTCTTAAATTGAGAACTTCTCATGGGAACTTTTTCATGATCCCAGGCATGTAAGTAGTTAAAGATCAGGAATATAAGGAAAAGGAAATGAGAAAGAAAGGGATATGGAAGGGAGACAAAACAGAAGAGGAGATAAAAGAAGAAGGAAGAGAGGGAGAGAATATTCGATCTGAAGATTAGTTCCAAAAGATGTTAATTCTAAAGTGTTAGTTCTAAAGGGCTGGAGCGATAGCACAGCGGTAGGGCATTTGCCTTGCGTGCAGTTGGCCCGGCTGAGCCGGGTTCGATTCTTCTGCCCCTCTCGGAGAGCCCGGCAAGCTACCGAGAGTATCTCGCCCGCATGGCGAAGCCTGGCAAGCTCCCCATGACGTATTCGATATGCCAAACAGAGTAACAAGTCTCATGATGAAGACGTTACTGGGCCCGCTCGAGCAAATCGATGAACAATGGGAGGACCATGACCGTGACATAGTTCTAAAGGATGCTAGCATGAATTGACACTGAACATTTTGTTTTTGCTTCAGTATTATCACTGCGATTTTGATAATTCCAAGGTGAAGTTAGGGATGCAGCAGGAGCTTATACCTTTATTGTGGGCATCTGTACAACAGAGGACAATAATAAGTAAAAAAAAAAAAATACTTAGACCTTTCCTATCCTATGGCCTGACGTCTCATCTTCCAGCACATCATCTCCAGAGAAATGTGCTGTTTTGAGTACGAATCATACATATAAACAGTAGTGCTTTAGCTGCTTTGCAGGAGTGAGGGAAGGAGGAAGAAAATAAATCTCTTTTGCCTGCATATCTGTTTACCATTTGAAACTCTTGGATGTACCTGAACAAACCAGTTTGTCTTTAAGATTGTGTCTCTCTGTCATCTCTGGACCTTTGCACGTGCTGTCTTCTGAGTAGACTGTCTCCTGCACTGGTTGAGCATTCCACTCAGATCTCTGGTTGCCTTTCAGTTTTCTCACAAGACATTCCCTGACTTTCTACTGTTAGAATAGACACGCCTCTTAAATGTTATTGCAATACTCTACTTTCCCTAATCAGCCAGTTACTTCCTTTACTCCTATGAGTTCTTTTTTTTGACCTGTCTTATGTATCTTTGAGTCTGGCGCCTTAGACCACTCGGCCATCCTGACGGAGCGATAGCACAGCGGGTAGGGCGTTCGCCTTACAAGCGGCCAACATGGCCAACCCGAGTTCGATTCCTCCGCCCCTCTCGGAGAGCCCGGCAAGCTACCGAGAGTATTCGATATGCCAGACACAGTAACAGCAAAGTCTCCAATGGAGACGTTACTGGGCCCGCTCGAGCAAATCGACGATCAACGGGAGGGCCTTATGTATCTTTGAAACAAATACTAGCTTGACACATAGGCACAGAGTAGGTATCCAGTATGCATATATATATATGCTTATATATATATATGCTTATATATATATATCACTATCCTGTAGCACTGTCCTTCCATTCTTCATCGATTTGCTTGAGCAGGCACCATAACATTTCCATTGTGAGACTCACTGATACTATTTTTGGCATATCCAATATGCCATGGGGAGCTTGCCTGGCTTTGCCGTGCGGGCTGGATATTCTTGGTAGCTTGTCGGGCTCTCCGAGAGGGAAGGAGCTATCAAGCCCGAGTTGGCTGCATGTAAGGCAAACACCCTACCTGCTGTGCTATTGCTCAAGCCCACATATAGATAGAATTAAAAAATACGTATTAGAGACAACTTATATATTTTACAAAGAGAGATAAGGAGACTTCTAATTTTTCTCTCTACAAGTATTTAGAACTCTTTTGGTATGACTTGCACCAACATAGTCCTTCCTCCACCCCATCATAAGACATGCTATGCTGATCACATCATCATCTTAAGACATGCTATGCTGATCACATGTGTATCCTGCTATCTTGAACGATGAATCATTTTCCAAATAAAGAAAGAAATAGCTTTATTAGATGAACATAGATTCACTTATAACAAGTGAATGTTTTGGTTGTATTATTGGCTCAAGATGAGACATCTTTCCTTTAGAAATTCATCTTATCTTGAGTGTCGTTTGAGTGACTGGTGACTGAATACTCTTAACTTTTATCAGTTTTATGAAAAAACATGGATTTTCTAGTTAAGTCCCAAAGTTGGCAGAAATTGTTTTTATTTTCTTTTCCCTCTATTTGACAATTTATTTTGTCAACATTTCATACGAGCATGAAATGAACATGTTTCTCTGATAACTTGAAACAAAGATGTCAGTGTATTGTGGAAAAGTATACAATACTTGATTTATTTTTGTTTTTATTGGCTTAACAAGGCAATAGTAAAATGTTGCTTTATGAAAATAGCCACAAATACAGACATATCTAAATAATGTATATTTGATGAATATGTTTTCCTGCTTTTGAAGCTGAATTATTAATCCTTAAAATAGGGAACAATTTTAAAATATTAACAGAAACAATAGCCCTCATTTATAATTCTTTATGAGATAGGCAGCCTTTCTTACTAAATCTTTGCAAAGCTACTGTGAATACTATGAAATGATTATTCTTGTCTTTTTTAAACTTCAGCTTTATAGTGGTTTAACTGATACATCAAATTATAAAAATGAAAGTATGTATCAGTGATTTGATATTTGTGTATGAGTATATATATATATATATATACACACATATATATAAATGATTTCTTCCCTCTGCTTAATTTGAAAAAAAATTCCATACAGTTAAGGCTAGGGATGTGGTTTATTGGTAGAGTTCATGCTTTGCTTGTGTGAATCCCTGAATTCAGTTACACACACACACACACACACACACACACACACACACACACGAGTTTAATGCTAAAACGTGTGTTTGTCTTTAAATATTTTCTATTTTGACCGTTTTGAATGCTTTCTGTTTTCTTTTAGGTTGTCGGACGGCTCCAACAGACTTAGTTTTTATCTTAGACGGCTCTTACAGTGTTGGTCCAGAAAATTTTGAAATAGTAAAAAACTGGCTTGTCAATATCACAAAAAACTTTGATATAGGGCCAAAGTTCATCCAGGTTGGAGTGGTCCAATACAGTGACTATCCTGTCCTAGAGATTCCCCTGGGAAGCCACGATTCGGGAGAGAAGTTGCTGGCAGCGATGGAATCCATACACTACTTAGGAGGAAACACGCGGACTGGAAAAGCCATCCAGTTTGCACTCGATTACCTCTTTGCCAAATCCTCACGTTTTCTGACCAAGATAGCAGTCGTACTCACAGATGGCAAATCCCAAGATGAAGTAAAGGAGGCAGCAGAAGCAGCAAGAGACAATAAGATCACTTTGTTTGCTATTGGTGTGGGCTCAGAAACAGAAGATGCAGAGCTTAGAGCAATTGCCAACAAGCCTTCGTCCACTTATGTGTTTTATGTGGAAGATTATATTGCAATATCCAAGATCAGGGAGGTGATGAAACAGAAACTTTGCGAAGGTAAGTCTAAATATGTTGATTTTTTCCTTTTTATCTTTCTTTAGGCATCCTGATTTACAATGCTGTTAACTACAGAGTTTCGGGCTTTAGATGCTCCAGATTCAAAACGATTGTACTTCCTTACAATTTGGCATAACTATTCATCTACTTAGTGCAGTTACTTGCGTTTCATGTCAAACTATTTATACTGTTAAAATTGAGAGGTGTAAATATCTTTGTGTTCTATCTCTTCCAGTTAAGTTTGGGTTCTAGGGACAATCACTGTTTTATCAAATCTGCAGTTGGAAAATATTAAAATTTTGTTATCTTTGAAGTTTACATGTAATTTTATTCTTTATGTCTTATTTCCCACTAGCTACACAAAATACAAAATACGGTATTTTGTGTAGCTAGTGGGAAATAAGACATAAAGAATAAAATTACATGTAAATCCCTTAAAATTATATCACTCCCGATCCTGAATTTTCCACTGTTCTTATTCCAGTCTTTTTCTTTATAAATTTCACTGTGTCTGAGAATTTATCTATCTGTCTGCTTTAAGAAGGATGGCATTCTAAATATATTTTCATAATATCGTATACCCCATTGTTGCATTGATAATTTTTATTTTTATTAACGCAATAGCAGACAATCTCATATAATAATTCATGTGCCAGTTTTCATGTGTTCTAGTGCTGGGATAGAGATTTTCCCCAGGGTCTCATACACATGGGCGTGTGAGGTACTGATGAGTCACATCTGTAGCCTCTCATGTTCTTATTTTTGTAAGTTTAATTAATTTCTAAGTGTTTTGAGTATAAATAACTGAATATTATCACACAAACGCTGAATGGGATTCTCTCATCCTTCCTTCGGAGACAAGTTTCAAATTACTAATATTTTTAAATCTGTGGAAAATGTTAAAAATTGCCCTTGAGAGAACATTCGAAAACATCATCCTTAATAGTCTTTTATTATGTTTGTATCATCATGTTTGTATATAGAATGATACTATAAATAGTATCATTTATATATTTTATGTACTTATGAATATAATATCATTTATATTTATATGTACAATAGTAGTTATATAATTTATTGTATTCATATAATGCTTATCCTATAAAAGTATAACTTCATGTTTGTGGTAACTTCATGGTATGAGAAAATCTTGATTTGGGTAAACTTTAATCCTTTTAGGCTTTTTTATGCTGTATTCTGGTTATTTTGATGGGGAATAATTTTCATATTTGATTTTCATATTGCAAGTATGTACCTAAAATATATATTAGGTTTAATAAACTATATATCTAAAATATTATGCACAATTGTACTTCCTTACAATTTGGCATAAAGTATTTCCAGTTTATAAAAGTTCCCAAATTTGATTGGCTCACAATTGATAATTTTTCAGATGACAATTGGTTAGAGAACAAATTTTGTCAATAAAATAGTTAAAACTTCTCAAACTTCTACATATTTTGGGGGGTAATATGGTTAAGAAAATATTTTTGAAGTTATTTTTAGATAACTTAAGCAAGTATAGAATATTAAGGACTGGGTTTTCGTTGTTGTTGTTCTACTCAAACTTTAGAGGCATACCAAGTGATTATCACATTTTTCTTACATATCTCTTATGGTAAAACTACACTGACATTTGTCAATTTAAGTGTAGCAGGCAGATTTATATTTTTACAGTGATTGGGTCAGAGGGATAGAAAGGTTAAGGTGTTTCTCTGCAGATGACTGATCCCAGTTTGATCCCAAACACCCCAGCAGAGACCCCTAAGCACAGAGCCAGAAGTAGCCCCTGAGCCTCATGAGATATGACCCAATAGCTGAAACAAAATCATTGCTAGATTAGCTGGAATATTTTCATTTTAAATCTAGGCATATTATTAAAATAGTAAAATTTGATGATGAAATTTACACTAAAAGGTAAGTTTATCCGATCAAGCATGCCTGTTCACTGTTTGCTTCAGAATATATGTGAGCATATATTCTGATGAAATTTATTTTTTAAAAAAATTTTAGTGACACATAAAAGAGTGAATATGCTTAAGTAGAATAAAATTACTTTAGTTAAATTATAGCTGTTTAGAAAATAATTTTTAAATCTTCCTAAATACGTCTTCATTTTCCTAAAAAAAGAATATATTGCTTATGTCTACTATAGTTCACAAATATACTTCACAGTTTCTGTTTGAAAATGTAGTTTTTGTAAATGTTCCTTTGGAATAAATGGGCACTTTTTCATTAGATTCTGTTGTATTATGTTATAATGCTCTGAACAAATTGCATTGCTATATTGTGGTCATCTGAAATCATGGAAATTATATTTTAATCACTTGACAAATTCACTTGTTTGGGATCAAAATAGCTAATTTCTACTGAGATACTCATAATGATAGTTACCATTCCCAAATATTGCACATTTTAAGCTTCTCTGTCATTGATTCATAATGAACAAAATTTCACTTACCTCTTTGTTCCAACATAATCCAGATTCTTTCATATTTACAGCCCTATCATTTCCTTGGAGGAATATTTTGTAATATTTTCTTTATATCAGGATCACCTTTTTTTTGATGGTCAATGATTGATTTCTCTGAGTCTAATGCTTTTTTTTCTTTTTCTATTTGTATTATGGTAAAACAAGTAATATGATATCTTTCTCTTAGAACATTTAAAGTATATAATTTCAATATTCTTAACTTTAAAACATAATGTGGAGAGACTGAAGAGATAGCACAGCGGGTAGGGCGTCTGCCTTGCACACAGCCGACCCGGGTTTGATTCCCAGCATCCCATAAGTTTCCCTGAGCACTGCCAGGAGTAATTCTTGAGTGCAGAGCCAGGAGTAACTCCTTTGCATTACCAGGTGTGACCCAAAAATCAAATAATAATAATAATAATAATAATAATAATGTGGATATCCAGACCTTTTCCTGTTGCATGATTAAAATTCACACCCTTTGAACCTAAATTCCTCATTTTCTCCCTGTACCTTGTCCTGGAAGTTCCCATTCTATTTTCTGTTCCTATGGATTTGAGTTCTTTTGATCATTTCATAAGTTATGCAATATTTGTTCTTCCGTGACTGGACACTGGAATTCAGATTTACCTCTTTGTTCATGGCAATAAATCATCAAATAACTTTGACTACTATGGCCATTTTTACAATGAGTTTTTCAATCAGTGAGGATAAAATATTTTTTATTAGTTTGTTTTAATTCTTTTCAGAAGTGTTTTTAGTTTTCAGAATTCAAGTCTTTTACCTCCTTCATTAAATTTATTTCTGATGCTTTGCTGTTACTTTTAGTGCTATGTTGAGTTGAAGTGGTAAAGAGTGGACATACTTGCATTATTCCTGTTATTGGAGAAAAGCTTTTGATTTTTAGTGTCTTCGTTGTGGGTTTCTCACATATGAACTTTATTGGGTTGAAGTATGTTCCTTATGAACCCTGTTTGGGTAGGGGTCTTTTATTCTGAGAAGTTATTAATTTTGTCAGATTTTTGCTTTCTCTAAACTGAGATGATAAAGTCTTTTTCCTTTACTTTTTTAATATTATGTATCCCATTAGTTAACTTCGTAGTTTGAACCATCTTTTCATACAAAGAAGAAACCTCACTTTTCTATTGTTTACGATCCTTCAATATTTTATTGATTTTTTGTATTTAAGTTGCTAGTGTTTTGTGAAAAATTTTTGCATCTATAGTTCTGAGGAATATTGGCCTGTGGTTTTCTTGTCATGCTTTTTGATTTATGCCATTCTGTATTGTACATTTGTGTTTTTCTTTCCAGTAACCAGCTAATGCTGAGACCCTAAAATATTTTGGAAGCATGTTTTTCTTTTTAATTTTTTATGAGTTTGAGAAGTATTGCATTAGCTTTTTATCAAAAGTTTGACAGAATTCGCTATTGTCCTAAGGCTTTTGGTTACTGATTTAATATTCTTAAGAGTTAAAGGATTATTCAGATTTTCTGTTTCATTATTCCATTGTGGTAGGCTTTTGTTTTAGGGATTTATTTCTTGGGGCTGGAAAGATAATACTGGGGGTAAGGTGCTTGTCTTGTGTGTAGCTGACGTGGATTCAATCCCCAGTTCCCATCATGTTACCCTGAACTACACCAGGAGTAGTTAAGCCTGGAAAAAAAGAATCCAGGGTTTACTTTTTCTTAGTTAAGCAGTTTTTGTGAATTTACTGCTGTCTCTTATGCACCTTTATATTCTTCTAGTAGCACTGTCCTCCTGATGTTCATCGATTTGCTCAAGCGGGCACCAGTAACGTATCCATCGTAAGACTTATTGTTACTAATTTTGGCATATAGAATACACCACAGGGAGCTTGCCAGGCTCTACTGTGTGGGCAAGATACTCGCGGTAGCTTGCCGGGCTCTCCGAGAGGGGCAGAGGAATCAAACCTGGGTCAGCCGCGTGTAAGGCGAACACCCTACCCTCTCTGCTATCACTCCAGCCCTCTATAAAGGCTATTCCTCTAGTATTTATTTTAATGGTTCATCTTTTGTTTTTTTTATTTATCTGAATTGTTTCTCTTTTTTTCTTAGTTAATAGTTAATATAAATTATTTGTTTTGTTGATCTTTTAAAAAAATCTTCATTTTGTTGATATTTTTTCATAGTTTAATTGTTTATATGTACATAGTTTACATGTTATTTATTTCTGCCATAATCTTTCTTTCTTCTGTTAATTTTGGAATCATTTTGTTCTTTTAATAGTCTCTTGAGGGACAGGCCATTTGTGTGTTAAAAATCCATGTGGATTTTTTTTATTATCATTGCAATTCCCTTACTATGATCCCTTTTTCTGCCTCCCACTTTGGATATGATGTTTTAGTTTCTTTTCCTTAACATCTTTACAAATTTCCATTTGTCTTCTTTTTGTGACACAGTAGTTGCTCAGCAGCATGTTGTTTAATTTTCACTCGTTGTGAAACGTTTAGGTTTTGCTCTACCATTAATTGTGAGTTTCATGTGGTAAGAGAAACTATTTCATTTT